TGTGTTGGAAGAGGGGTCGTCTTATACGGCGAGTATATCCCAAACTCTTTATTTTGACTGGAAAAGTGGGGGGGGGTCATCTTATACACCCAGTCGTCGTATACACCGGAAAATACAGGACTTTGCACAGCAGTTGAAATCATTGTGATTTGAGTGTGTTATTCTGCCTTTCTGAGACAGTATAAAGTTACAATAAATGTACAATGACATCTATGTTATAATGGAGAGACAGTGTTTGCGACTTTGAACATCATACAAAACAAAGATAAGGGGACTGAACCGACAATTCCAACAGAAGTACAATAGCCAGATGAATGATACATTTTAATCCTCTCTGTGCTGGACTGTGGATTTCATAGTTGATCCTAATGTGTATTACAGCCAAGGAGAACCCATGCAAAGAGAATGACTTCCCTTATTATACTATTGTACAAAATTGAGTGTTGAAACATCAATAATATTTGTAGGCTGATTAGGCTAATGTTGCTTCACACCTGAACCAGGTCATATTATTTGGGACATGAATGCATTGGCAGTACTGCAGCCTCTTAAGCTATGTTCCTTTCTTAAATGATGGATCATCCCCAAGGCCAGAAGGCTATTTCTTGTCATAGCTAAACTGAGGCTAACATCTTTCTTGTTAGCTCATGATAACTGGAAGTGCCATAGTACTGAAATGTGTGAAATTCCTATAATCTATCAACCTCTGAGCATTTACCATGGATCACTGTGATTTGTTGCCTTGGTCACATTAGTAACACTAGTAACTAAATCCTTCCAGATTAGTAGGCTCCAATGTGGAACATATAAAAGAGCCATAAGCTCTAAATCTGTACAGAACTGAACTTTAAACTTGGGTTCAATTTCTTTATGCCAAGAAAGGATGGATTATATTATCTAATCTGAACTTTCTACCTTTACAAATTCCAGACATTATATCATCTGATTTCTTGTCAACTTTATCATGATGTACTCCCAATCCTGACCCCAAAAGACACCATCTTTTTCTACAGTGCCTAATGGCTCATTCTTGTTTTATCAGTATGGTAATAAATCTTTTAAGAAGTCGTAACAATGTTCTGAGGTCTTCCGAAGAAGGAGCTCAATGCACTAACCCAAATGAAGTGGTGCCTCAGGCAACAGATACTATAAAGTAGTAGCTCTGGGCTATGCCAGCCGATCTACATCTTCCTAGCAAGTGTTGCAGTGGCAGTAATGCTCACAGGTTACCAGCCTGTGTTGCCTGGTTCACTTTTTTGCCTTCAAAAGCTATTTTGTCCCCGATATTATGCAATATCTATATGAAGCCGTTGGGTGAGATCATACGGAGTTATGGTGCTGGG